TTATTTCTGATCTTGTTATACTCGGTCCTTGTTGCTACATCCTTATTTCTGATCTTGTTATACTCGGTCCTTGTTGCTACATCCTTATTTCTGATCTTGTTATACTCGGTCCTTGTTGCTACATCCTTATTTCTGATCTTGTTATACTCGGTCCTTGTTGCTACATCCTTATTTCTGATCTTGATATACTTGGTCCTTGTTGCTACACCCATACTTTTTATTGCCTTGGATGAGATCTACCCAGGCATCAAGTAAGAGTGTTTTGGAGCAAAATATTGTCTAATTCCACATTTTGGGCCCCACCCAAGTCCCTAGGGGCGGAATCAACTTTCTGAATTCAGGAAATAATTCTCCAGCCACAAGAAAGTTTCATACCATATTTGGTTTAAATCCATTCAAGCAGTAAGAAAGATTTTCCCATTTTGGGCTCTACCACTAGGTCTATGGGGGTCAAATCAGATTTCTATATATAAGAAATGATAACCTACCTGCAATAATGTTTCAGACCAAAGTAAAATCTACCCAGACTTAAAGAATTAGTGGTGTTTTGAAGTAAAAAAAAGTCTAACTCTCCATTTTGTGTTACTGCCAAGTTCCTAGAGGTCTAATAAACTTTCTCATTTCAGAATTATTTGCCAATGCCTACTGATGACACAGACAAAATTTGAATGAAATCCATTCCAGCATTAAGGAAGGGTAGCTTTTGGAGCATATACATGATAATAAAACATAATTACTACTTATATTATCTGATTTCAAAATATACTATGGTATTTGATATATTCTGTAGACCTTTCACGACCACTTAGTGTTGTAATAAAATATCAACATGTCATGAGGTAGATAAGAGGCCTAAGGGCCTTAATGGTCACTGGAGTCACAATGCTTCCTGCAACATGCCACAGAAATGATCTTGTGAAAAAAGTAAGATAACTACATTGTACACATATAGGCTTTCAAGTCACTTGTGATAAAAAGTAACGGCCTGTTATAGGACTAATTTTTTTTCAAAAATGAGGGCAAATTTTAGGATTTTTTAGGGGTTTTTAGGACAAAATAAGGGATTAAGTTCACTTTTAAATACAAAATTACTCACCACTGGGTGGATGGCTACAAGACCATTAAAGCTAATTACCAACCCAGAAGATCATACCAGTGGCCATCAACAGAGGTATTCACCATTCCAATTCAAGCTGAAAAAAAAAGACAAAACTTTATTGCATATAAAAGGATAACAAATTAACTTGGATTAACACATATCAAATACAAAGTACACATATAATGGACACACATATGGATCATTGGCTGTATCAAATAAACAGAAGTTGAATATTGTCCTACAACAAATAAGATCAAAGTATGAAATCAAACCATAATCAAAATTACATCATAAATAAACCTACAGTTATTTTATATGTATTCCAAACCCGGCAATATCAAAATTACATCATAAATAAACCTACAGTTATTTTATATGTATTCCAAACCTGGCAATATCAAAATTACATCATAAATAAACCTACAGTTATTTTATATGTATTCCAAACCTGGCAATATCAAAATTACATCATAAATAAACCTACAGTTATTTTATATGTATTCCAAACCTGGCAATATCAAAATTACATCATAAATAAACCTACAGTTATTTTATATGTATTCCAAACCTGGCAATATCAAAATTACATCATAAATAAACCTACAGTTATTTTATATGTATTCCCTGGCAATATCAAAATTACAAAATTACATATAAATAAACCTACAGTTATTTTATATGTATTCCAAACCTGGCAATATCAAAATCACATCATAAATAAACCTACAGTTATTTTATATGTATTCCAAACCTGGCAATCAAAATTACATCATAAATAAACCTACAGTTATTTTATATGTATTCCAAACCTGGCAATCAAAATTACATCGTAAATAAACCTACAGTTATTTTATATGTATTCAAAAATTTACATCATAAATAAACCTACAGTTATTTTATATGTATTCCAAACCTGGCAATATCAAAATTACATCATAAATAAACCTACAGTTATTTTATATGTATTCCAAACCTGGCAATATCAAAATTACATCATAAATAAACCTACAGTTATTTTATATGTATGTATCATCAAACCTGGCAATATCAAACCTGGCAATATCAAAATTACATCATAAATAAACCTACAGTTATTTTATATGTATTCCAAACCTGGCAATATCAAAATTACATCATAAATAAACCTACAGTTATTTTATATGTATTCCAAACCTGGCAATCAAAATTACATCATAAATAAACCTACAGTTATTTTATATGTATTCCAAACCTGGCAATCAATATTTACATGTAGATCCTACTTCAAAATAATTATGCACAATAATCCTTAAAAAACATGTGTTTTTCACATATTCCAAACACTGCCTTAAACACATGACAATTAAACTAAGAATGCAATAGTAACTTGTATACAGGTAAGGTGTAACAACAATATAAAGAATGTCGGGTTCTTTTTAAGACAACTTAACAAAAAAAAAAAAAAAATTAATAAAAAAGATAAGTACACAGTTCAATAATTCTCCTTTTTATCTAACTTTTAATCATATAGATGATCATCATCTCATGCATATGAAAAAAATCCATACATAAACAGGTTTTTATATCTCCCTTTATTTTGATAAATGAATGACTAACATAATCACAAATGGTGTGCTATGAGCATAGCAAAGAATAATATGCTTCTGTTTGTAATATAAGACAAAGAACATATTTGATATCCCTCAGTTAGTTTTCATTGGGATACAATCCGAATATCTATAGCTATGATATACTCACCATATTAAGGTAGATCGGCATGGCTCGAGACAATGCTGAGTAGCCCACTTGATAACCACCAACATGTCTTCTAAGCTGTACACTTTATCAAAGTACTGAAAGCAACTAAGGGTAGATTTCATTAATTCCAAAAGTATTAACTAATATGGATTATGAAAATTTTAAACATCTAGAATAATTAGGATTTTCACCAAAAGTGTAGGGCTTTTTTTAGGATTTTGGAGCTTTAATTAGGAACACAAGGGCTGAAGTTAATAAATAAGGAAAATTAGGAAAATAAGGGCCCGCTTGAAAGCCTGCACATAATACAAATGTAAATTGTGTATAAGATCAACTGCTGTCCTGTGCTTAGGCTTCTTACCAAGTTTGAATTAAAAGAAATTACACCCAAAATCTTAATCTTCCTCTGTAAAATCTTCCTTCCAGGAACAGTAGAACATCTTTGCAATTTCAGTCAATTTGATCCATGTTTTGACCCCTGAGGGTCAGCAGAGGTCACTTGTGTACACCTCATCATACTCTCATCTAATAATTAGTCAACACTTTAATCCTGATCAAACAGGCTTTCTGTCCTGATGAAATATAAAAAATTTAATTACATGATGTGATGTAATTGCACTGAAAATAGAAATACACAGGTATACTACAAATGATCTATGTTGACAAAGTGTTTGAATCTGTATCTCGGGTTTCGGATTTGGTACATAAATTCTAAGGAAACAAATATATGTATATATATTCAGACCCCGGGAAATGAAAGAGAAACTATTAAGTTATATGTATGCTGCCAGTATCACCCCAGTTACTGTATATTTCAATTCTCTGTGTTTAAATTCCTACAATCAAATTAAGAAGTAATCAAGATATTACTGGTTTAAACATTTTCCTGTACTCCTAACTCAGTAAAGAGATGAATCTGTTTCTTTGTTGGTGTAAACACTCTCTCCATGTAGCCATTATAATGGGTTGGAGTCTTGTACTTGGTCTAATTCTCAAAGCCACACCAGTCAAAGGGAGACAACTCTCCACGCCTAAAATACCATAAAAAAGTACTGTAAATGAACTTGTTTATGATGTGAAAGCAAATAGATTTTGCTTTTTCTGAGAATTTTCCAAAATAAAATGGCTTTACTGGACGAAAAAAAAGTTAAGGATCATAAAAAATGAAACAACCTTTTAAATCTTTAAAGAAACGTGACAAACCTTGGAACATTTTAAATGTCATGTTTGTTTAGAAGCTACCAAGAGCTATTAACAAGGAGTAACAATACCAGGTAAATCAAAGTGTTACATCATCAGAGTCACAGAGACAAGTCCAGAAATTGATATCAGAGGCTTAGTAGGGAGTATGATCTCCAAAACGTTACAATATTTTCGTTAAAATATACAAAAATCAAACCTCAGAATTTCCTGAGTATTTATCAGTCATTTATTCACACTAACAGTGCACTAGAGCAGTACAATATAAACTCATGATACACATGCATACACCCTTACCAACACATTGGCTGTACATTCAAAAAAGTAAGGGAGCCAATATGGGTAACATATAAATTCCTCTCAGAATATATAATGGTAACAATTTATGACCCTTCACTTATTTTGTCCAGTAAAAATCATGTCAATTATATGTAACAAAGGTCATTATTTAAACAAGGAACCTCTGGCTTACTAATATGCTCAATCAATTAAGGTAAAGTTCTCTCCAGCCAAGAAATGTATTGCCTCTAGTATTTACCAGGGTTACATACTTCCCTTCCAGGACGGAACTTTTCCTCAAGTATCCAGGAGTTACAAGGAAGTGTATGGGACATGGCTAAGTACTATTGAGTTACTACATCATGTACATAGGCACCAATAAAACAGATCAAGCTAAAGAGGCATTCTCTACTGCAGCTAGTTATTTACCAGGATTATATAAACATTATACCAAAGTTAATTAATTCACAGTTGAAGGTGACACCAAGACAACATCTGTCTCCCTATGAATTCCTCAAAGCATGTGGATCTCTTCCTAACTCAGTCCATAGGAGACACAGATTTCTACAATATTTAATCTAAAAACTTCTAAAGAAGCCTACAGAAAAACTGATATTTCAAAATCCTCAAATACCTTGTTGTATTTCAAGTAGATCCAGAAAAAATTCTGAAATAACTTTCCAGGAAAAAATACAAAAATGTTAATTACATAAAAAGAACAAAAACTGTAAAAATTACAAATACACAATATCCCAAGGGAAAATATAAAACAATCTGAAAAAGAGAAGATTCCAGGAAAATCTTTAGAAATTATCCTTCTTAATGTATATTGCATATTTATTCACACAGGCATCACAGACACAACACCATTCCACAAATTACATTGTCTACCTAAAAGTCTAACTGTTCATCAGTCTAAGGGAGATAATCGGCCTCAGGATCACAAATCATCACTACTCTGACTTTGACTTCCATCAGAAAAGACCTCACACAATGAAGTCTCAAGATACTGTGCTGCATACATCATTATATAATTGTAGTAATTAAATACAAAGGGTGTTAACTGTCTGTTCCCATCATCATACAGTTGGTTTTAAATTCTGGAAAGAGGCCAGACAGCTATCTCTCAATTTATCAAACCCAAATGGTAAAATGAGACTGCCACCTTCCTCAGTGCCTCATGTGTCTTATCTTGTGAAGGCAAGGTGAAACTGTCATCCCTCTCACTATCCTTTATACCACATCTTTATCCCAGTCCAGAAAATGTCCTTCCTACTGGGACCAAATCCAGTGAACACAAGCTCTGTTTTCTGTTCTGGTACAGCCAGGATCTATACAGGAGAAAAAGAAATTCATTAAATGTAATCAGGACAATTATGTTAGATATACACTTTTTCATGATTTTAAACAATATAACTTCCCACAATGTTTTTGATGTGAAAAGTCAGTGAATTTAATGACAATTGATTAAAAATGTATATCATAGAAATCTTAGAAAAGATTTACCTCTATTTCCCATATTTTACCATGCACCTCTGACCCCAGGGGAGCCAGAATCATAGTTTATATGAAATTGAGTCCCCTTCACCAAAGGATGCTTCTGCGCAAATTTTGACAAAATACTTTCATCTCAACAAAAGGAGTTTAAAGCTATTACACTTAGACAAAATTATTCTGCCTCGACAGGAGAAGATAGGTTTGAAAGGGTTTTGGCGACAATTTTATTTCAATTACAGCAAGCCTCTATTTTCCAATAAGAAACATCTACACATGTCATGCCTATTTAATTTACATACAAATCGGTTTTACAGACAAGCCTATCTAAATGTACATATATTGTGTATTGTCAACATAATGATATATAACAGCAAACTCTTTATTTATATCTATTCTGTTATCATTTTTTTTGAAAGAATAGCTTTAAAGGGACACATTTATACACTTAATTATTACACTAAATATTGTGTCCAATAATTCCCACACTAAAGCCTATATATTATTGACCTTTAACCTTGTCCGATGATCACTAAAATCAAATCAAGTATAGATCTTGGTAGGGTTTAGCTCTGGTGGGAATATGAAGTAAAACTCAAGGGGTTCATCAGATATCTTAATTGTATGTAAGTATTTTTATTTGAGAAATAGTGAAGTTGTGACATTTAATCTTAACCGATGACCACCAAAACCTTTGGAAAGGTAATTCTATAATAATCATTTCTACAAAAGATCCACATGAAGTTAAATGAGCCATACTGATTTTTTCCTAAAATACATACCCAAAGATATTTAATGTTTATGTCAGTCCTATTTTAGAACTTGGATTTGTTTTCTTTGAAAACTTACTGAAAATATTTCCTACATGTGTGATCTGTGTAACATTAAAGATCAAACAGAATCATTCAGAGACACAAATATCACAAACAACACACAAACACCTCCAGGTCTGCTCAACTACAGCAAAGGTCAGCTTGATTGTTTCATTCAATAGGAAAAATAATCAGCCTCAACACCACCTGTACTGAGAAGACAAAGTATACAAGACACACTTTTGTGATCTAAAAAGAAACCAAATTCAAAGAGATCCCAGACGGATCTTGGTGCACACTATTTTCATTTGATCTTTGTTGGATTTTTTCTATTCTTTTCTCCTCTTTCCTTTTTTTCACTCTTAATTATATGAAATTTGAAAATTCCCTCTAAAGAAATAGTTTTTATTCTTTAAGTGCCAAATCCAAGATAGCCAAGTCAACCATTTTCTTTTTTCACATCTGTTCTGAGATCAAAAGACCAAACTAAGGACAAAGGTGCACCTATATATCAAATTTGAGAAAAATCCATCTTGTATTTGTCAAGAAATGGTGCTACAAAACTATTATAGGCAAAGTCAAAGATGACACCTGTTGGCTATCCTGTATTTTCAATCAAACAAAAACAAACCGTGACTGTTAAAAATCAAGATGGTCATCGGTCAGACATCTTTCCTATCAGTTTTAAAATAAACTACACACAAGAAGGGACCAAGGGAAATCAACAAATAAAATTTGAGAATCATCCATCTTGTACTTTGGGAAATAGCGATAAAAAAATATGACTGCCAAGAAAAATTGACTGCCTGTCAGCCATCTTGATCGTCCAAAATTATCTATAAACAACTAGGGACCAAGGCAAACTACATATGAAATTGGAGACTTATACACTGGGTACTTGTCTAGAGTTAGCAATAGTAACAGTTGTTTAAGGACAAACAGACATATGATATGTAACAACAACTAAAATATGTATAGGACCACCTCCACATGGTCGTATTAAACTATTATCTGTTGAAACATCATGATACAAACAGAATCATCCCAGAACACATAACACAGGTGTTAGGAAGAATTTAAAACCCAGACAAGGATCTTCAACACCTTGATAAAAATTCACAGCAGAGGAATGAACACCATAACAACTTGTTAACCTGCTACTCTGGAGACTGTTCCAAGTGTAGACAGCATTCCTGGTATGCTCGATGGTCCCAAGTTTTAGCCATCTCCATCTTCAAATGACACCTGAGGACTAGATGTTGGTGCTACTGAAAATGAAACAGATTTACTCAGCACAATAAGTACTAGATCTTTCTATTCAAATGCAGCATGGAAATCATATATGGTTCATGTTACACAACTAGTAGAAGATTAGTGTGACGTTTCGATGACTACACAGTCACCTTATAGTTCTTATAACACAGCCTTGAGAAGATTATAATGTGATGTATCACCTGAATAAATTAGGGGACATAACCAGCGTGAACCAATATTTCGAGAATTTTGCAGTTACTTCCCCTGTCACAACAATTTAACAGACGTACTGTTAGTGAATTGTTATCAAAGGATGTACATACGTTAGCCAGTATATATAATTTTGTCGCATGTCCATGAATGTATTGAAATGATGTATACCGTTACCAGTTCTGCCAAGTGGAGGCCTCCTCTTTTCAGAAATTGTTTTGTGTTATGTTAAATCACTTTGACAAGCGTCAACGTCGAGAAGGTGGCTGCCTGGCTGGTATTTAATCTGGAATGCTAATTACTCCTGAAAAAAAAAAGTAGAAATGCATTGATATAAGAGATGAACTTTAATTTTCAACACAATGTCAGGGTATTTCTGTTTTTATGTCATTACACGGGAAAACATTCGCTCTGTGGTGTATGTGACCGCAATGTATGTACTGTATTTTCCCCAGCTATAGGTCGCAATGGTATATAGGCTACAGAGCCAGTTTTTCAATATTTGATCCACATATAAACCGCAATGGTGTGTTCTTATGATATAATAACAATGATCAAAGTTTGTTGATAAAACAGACAATGGAAGGCAATTGATCAACATCGTCAGGGAAACATTTGATAAAGTTTCCAAACGAATTATGCACAAATAATCCTTTATTCTATTGATATATTTTCAATTAGATTGTTTGATGTGATTTAGATCTATTTGCTAGGAAATATAAATAAAGAGGCCCAAAGACCTGTATCGATCACCTGGTTAAGTTTGCTGAAATTCACTGATCTTAACTAAGGGAAAAATATTTGAAACACTTGTATCTACTTCCCTGTAATAAGTTCCAACTTCCTCCAAAACAGGTTTAGATGCAGCTGTTGGTAACTAAGTTCTCTTCACCAAGAATGTCCAATTCCAACATAATAAAGATGTTGAAGAATTTGTTCTATTTTAAATAATTCAACACTGCCCTTCTGGTCCAAATGGACAGGAACCAAATGTTCATACAAAATCGTTACCCTTTTCCTAAGCATGTCTCACACCATATTGGGACAGAATCTAGGCATTTCTAAATGTACCTGTTTTGGGTGTGTCGTTTGTGATGTGTATTGTATACTATCACTGTATGATTTATTACCAGGATTCTCCAGCACCATATGCAGGGAAAGTGGCAATTATCTAAATATTGTTATAAACCTAATAATTATTCCTTATTATGAATAGGTTTTAAATCATTAATTAATTGTAAACAGCTAAAATAGTTGTTATCACTAAAAGTCCAAAAGTACAAAGCCATGTCCCACCAGCATTGCTGTAACCCCTGGAAACTCCAGGACGAAACCAAAACATTTTACAAAACTGATTCCTCTTCACCCAAGGATACTCAGAGTGCGAAAAATGCACTCGTCCACCGGCCACTCGGCCTGGAGGAAGCCATGAGAGCCTTACATCCCATGTGGAAAGTAGAGAGACTGGCTGACCCAACTCACCTAGGCAGAGCACAGTTCCGGAAATGTAACAGTGCTAAGTTGAGCAAGTCAATGTTTCCTGGTCGTACCAGACTGATGAGGTCTCATGCTCAGAAGGTATTTTCTCAAGACTTGAAAGCCCGGAGCAGTCTGACTTTCAAGGAATTGATTTAAATTCACTCCAGAAACATTGAGACTATCACGACTTGTTTACCTGCAGTGTTAGATGCTACTGTATCCTGCTACACAGGTGACTGTTCTAAGTGCAAGCAGCATTCCATGGTGTGCTCTGGTGGTGACAGTGACAACTGGTGGGTGCGATCAATGTTCCTTAGTTCGAACCAGATCAATCAACTTCGAATGACATCGGAGGACGAGATGTTGGTGTTGGAGCTCCTGAAAATGAAACTCAGCACTGATGTTATTCGATCTATGAGACTCAGCACATCTACACAGAAGAACAAGGGTTGTCACAGAAGCCTGAATGTGTCCTTACCAAAACATCAGAATTTTGGAAGAAATGCTGAGGGGAGGTTAGACAATGCCATTCCGACCCTAAACAACAGTGCAGGGAAAGCCATCCAAAAGAAAGTTGAACACTTTGGTGGTACTCTGAGTAGGGAGGTCAAACATAAACTTGGATCAACTCAGCTCAGAGGAAATATATCAACGCCAGCACCAATACAAACCTGCTGTCAAGAAAAGAAGTATGTTGTTGTTAGCAGAACAGCACAAGCAGCATGCGAAAAAGTCCAGGTCCGCTTGGAAGTCTGACTACAGGAGAGGTCAGCTAGATCCTAACATCCATCTATGTAGGGGAGACAACCGGCCTCAGGACCACCTGTATTGAGAAGAAGAGGTGACAACAGATTTATTAAAGACATGTTAACAATCAGAAAAAAACCCAAAAATAATGTTACAACAACAACAACAATATATATATATGACTACCTAATGAGGGAACCTCCACGTGGTGGTAGTCGGACAATGTAGTATATATCAGTGTACAATAGCAAATACCCTCAAATTAATAAAAACTTAATTTAATTTTCAAATCCAACATGCAGTCACTGAACCCTACATGACCCTAACACACATTTGAATTTAAACAGTACCGCCTATTATTATTAATAAAACGAGGTTCTGAACTTATGTGCTCTACATTTACACATAAACTATTATGACAGAGATATGGGAACAGTCCAGATCACTTGACAATTCTAAATTTTCAGAAAAACAAATAAAAGCAAGTCTGTGTGCATGTTTCTTTTTCCAATTTAAATCACTGGGGTCCTTAAATGACAGAAGTCCATATTTTCCTGTCCTTGTTACAGGTCCAATCCAAATCCTACACAAGCCATTATCTGGGCTATCCACAGAATTTTTTAAGATCTTGTACTTGTATAGTTTGAAAAAATCCTCCATCTTAACTTTTAAAAATCAGGTGTAGGAATACACAATAACACAAATATGCTAATTTGATGTTATTTATAGATGTCCTGATCACTCCAGAAAATAAAGTTTCAAAATTTTTCAAAAGTTAAATTTAATTGAAATTTTAATTATAATTGAAGTGATAAATTAGAAATTAATTCACTACCTAACCAGTCATAAAATATAGAACAACCATGCCAATTTGTATGAGAATCTGTCAAAAAATGTGGGTATGAGAAATAAAAACATGGATTTTTAGGCATGTCATTAAGGACTAAGACCACATTTAATTTCACTATATGTTTCATTGTAACATTAAAATTCATAACTAAGTCCCAAAGTTTCATCTGCAAATTTCCATTTCACCTGGCCAAGATCAACATCTGAGAAGCAAAATGTAAAAGTTTCAACCCATCATAATGGGCATTTTCCATGTGTGTCACCAACATCAATTATATACATCAGGGTCTGGGGTAAAGGTGAAAAGAGGACTTTTTACACCGCATCCTGCAGCACAAAATACATGTTCAATATGAATGATTTACACACTGACAGTTCGATTATCATCTCTATAACACATCTACATCAAATTTATAGGCAAACATCCTATTCAAAGAGGCATATTATTTTTTCCCAAATATACATACATTTTTTAGGGACTTCATTTGTGGGTACTGAACCCGGAAGTATTTAATTGGGGTCTTAGTCCATATAGGCGTACCACGCAAACAACGGAGCGTAGCTTGGTGAGTGTGCACCTGTTTCAGGTCATACAAGCATTTCATTGAGGTAGATTGATATAATATCATCGGACATAGCACTATGTTCTGGAATTAAAAGAATTATGCATCAATATTTAGAATTATTTCTATTACAGATGTGAGTGAAACAATTTAAATAAAGAAAACAAATTCAAATGATAACTGTCATCCTATATCAGATCGACAACACGTTTTCAGTTGACAGATTTAATTCCGGATTGCAATGCATAGCGGCTACCGTTTCTTATTTTATTCTCCATCTTTTTACTCATAGTTAATGTCAGCAATGTAAGTTATGTTCTTCGACAGGCCTACTGAGAAAATGGCAAAACGAACTATATAGATGCCTTATTTACCAATGTTTGTACTAGCAGTGAGAATAGTGGGGCTCTAAAGCGACACAATCAGAAACCATAAAGAAGAAAAAACAAAATTTCAAATCTGAGTGGACAAAGGAACTTGCATGGGCTAAATTTGACGAGGAAAAAGATCAAATGTATTGTATCACTTGTCGTGAATTTCCTACCTGGTTCTCATACTTGGCTTGTCCAGTGGGACGAGTGTGTTTTCAAAATTTTTTCACACCCTGATACTTTAAACAAACTTCAGACAATATCCTGCAATTCATGAAGAACAAGATAGATTTTCCATATTGGGCCCTGCTCCTTTAGCCCCAGGGGGCCGAATCCCACCATTTATAGAATACTAATTTCTCTTCACCTAAACGAGTCACTATTATAACTTACCCATCATATCGTTGTTTGTATAACCAGATTGTCGATGAATACACCAATTTGTTGTCGACCACACACCGCTCCAGAACAATTATCTGTGCATTGGCATCTTCACATATCTGAAATGTCATTAAATATTCAATTTATATGTAATGACCATAGCGACTATACAACAACTGGTCTATTTATTATCAGTCACCTTGAAATACCTACTTAGAGGAATAATAATCAGAATTTTTGTGGTAGCTATATCTTCAGTGTTATTTATTGCATCACAAATGTAATGAACATGTAGTCATTTATCTACCTGATTCTAGATGACATGTGTGACCACTGAGTGATAGGAGAGGGTAAATGTGCTTTGCAGATCCAGGGGTAAAATTGGTCCTTCCCTGGCTCATCAAAGTGTGGCATCACGTGGACTTGTTGCATACAGCACATCTCCACTGGATTGTGGTGTTGCTGAAACGCTGTTTGATACAAAGGAAAAAGAAATTCATTAGTGTACATTGATAAGACCATAATCAATAACTAGTTTTCATTCCATCATATCAGTTATATCACAGTTACATTCACTTTTTGATATGTCAGTGCAATGTCAGCTATAATGTCTTGGTCAGTATAACACCTCAGCTACTACCAGTAAATAGAAAAACAATAAAGACACTGCAACATCGACCAAATAAACCAAAGTCAAAGGAATACTACTGAAACAGTTGGACAGAGGCACGATCTTTCCTCCATACTCACAGTCACATCAGAATTACACATCACAAATAGATCAAATAGCACAAAATAAACAAGTGACAACATCAACTCCAAATAGAAAAGGACAAAAGGTCACATAAATAATTCACCTTACTGCAGGAGTGTCACAGTTTATTGTCCATCTTCAGTACAGGTCAAAATTCCAGGTAAACAACACTAGTGAAGAAATGTGTCCACGGTAGCCTATCGGCCTAAAGGAAACACTTGTGTAACTGTCAACATCATCTGGTAGTGGTGTCTTCCAACAGATGTACCCCAGGTAAAAAGTTCCAGTGGAATTTGGTTCCGACGATCACGTCAATAATGTAACAAAATGGATAGTAAAAGTACATTTTGGGTCAGAAATTAAAGTACAAAAGGTATCTCAGGGAGCAATAAGAACAGGTATCATAAGTCAGGCACTGGACCAGGCTTAACGACCTGTGAGTGACAGGTAGTGATGCACGCCTGATAACGGGAGGCGTGTGCACCTCAGTGTTGAAACACCATGGCAGAATATCGCTGGTATGAGTGATCTGAACAGGTAGATGCTCTCTCCTGTCTGCCTCCTGCTGGCGAACGTATTTGTAAGTAAACAAGATAAGAAACAATGTATAAGGTAGATCAAAGATGGGAAATTGGTGACGGGTACTCCTAGTCGCATGTGCCTTAATAATTAGATGCTCCGGGGGCTGGATTATTGGTGTCCAATATGTACTGGGCTGAAATTAAATATTTGGGTATTATCTATACTATAATAATAACCAGCAGAAGTCAGTCTGGGATCAAGAAGCTAGAGAGAGTTGGGAGTTGGTTGTGGAGACAGGCAGAGTCCTGTATGGGACTTGCTCTGCGATGGAGCGGGCCCTGGCTAAGTCGGCCCAAGGACATTTGTATGGAACACTTTAATATGGACGGGTAACTGATAGAACCTGAGGATGCTTCTGTATGTTGATTAGGAACTATCTTTTGTAATGGATATTAACGCGAAGTACTAACTATGGAAAACCACTTTACGATGAAATAAATATTTCGGTCAACCCCAAGTAAACACTGTGTTTAGTCATTGTGTTATGATAAATACAAAGTACCCTGGACCCTCGATCAACATTGGGTCCCTAGATGGGCGCCATTTGCAGCAGTATGATCATCACAAAGCTACTGGGTTCAATTTGTTTACCTCTATTAAAAGAGAGAGATTAACACGTATCGTGTATTAATGTTACACACGACAGCACAGATGACACCACATCATTCTGTCACCACAAAAGCAGGTGCAAATGCCATAATGCAAATATTCAGTTGTACTGACAAAATAATTGAATCGTTCACTTGGAGAGATAGAATTCAAATGTACCGAAGTACTAGGGACAAAAAAAAGAAACCCACAAGGCAGAAACCTTCAACCATTTAACAACTTGGTCAAAGTCCGTCAAGTGTCACATGTCCAGTCTGTAGCTGACAACAACTCATGTACAACACACATACATATGTACAAAGAAGGTATACATTATCAGGCAAAACGTTTTTACAAAAAATATACAAGTAATTAAAATACAACCGCTTAAGTATATTGTACTAAAAGACAAATACATATATTATATATCCAACAGAATTTGACAATCAATATAATAACTTAAGAGGCCCAGAGGGCCTGTATCGCTCACCTGGATCTTTATGACCAACAGTACTATATCTGTGCACATGTTCCACAGTAGATGCTTATGGGTTCTGTCCCTTAGTAGTCAGCACCCTCATCTGTGCAATGTTGAATTGAGACTTTCTTATGATGTTTCCAGTTAAATATAATTGATAGCTTTCTTTTAAATCATGGAAAAAAGATGGTCAAACAATATAGCAGAAAAACTCTTAGTTATAGCTGGACGGATGACCCAGGACAGCTGAAGCTTACTTGCCCTTTAGATCATTGTTTACAAACACAGATACAACATATTTGAGACTTGCACAAGTCAACAATATATAGCAATAATTAAATATAATGACAGGAAAAATTAAGCTACATGTAATTATAAACCATAATCCTAACTCAAAACCAATAATAAAACGTTTCATGTGTATCATTAGTGATGTCACCGTGGTCAATTAAGCCCCAGTTACTGGAGATATACTGATAACAGTTTACTGTAGGCCTATAAACACTGCATAGCAAACGGGATCAACTTAGAATTTCTTATTTATTTATGCTATAATTATGACGAATCTTCAATCAAAATGAAGATCTTGCAATTCTCTTTCTAATCATGTTTTCTGTATTTTAACGCTGTGAATAGAACATAAGTCATTTGCTAACATGTAGTTTTTCACATAACTTAGCTCAAGCCTCTAAGACCTCCAGGGGGCTTGGCCTAATCTATTTTTGGAACAGTGTGACATCACTGTGAAAGGTCTTTATAATTTATTCTAAATTATGCAAAGAAAATTCCCAGCGCAATATATTCCTTTAATAAGTCATTGGAAGGTTCTACATATTTGTATATAAACCTTTGTGAAACTTTAACTGGCCAAATATGAAGTTGATTTTACACAATCTGACCCCCGTGACCTTAAGATATTTTCATGGGTCAAGCTATTTTTTATTTTCACATACTATGTGGCGGACACTATAAAGGGAAACTTTTGGCCAAATATTATGATTTTAGGCCTTTTAGTTAAGCAGAAGTTGTTCAAAGGTTTAACGCCTTTGACCGTTGTGACCTTGTATATGGGTCAAGGTGATTTCTTTTTGCAAACTTTCTAGAGCTTGATAAAAGGAACCTTCCAGACAAATATAATAAATCTAGGCCTTCCGCTATTTTGGAAGAAGTCGTTTAAGGGTTTTTACACATTTGAACTATGTGACCTTGAATAAACGTCAAGGTCATTTCTTTTCGCAAACTTTGTTGGGCTTCATCAAAGGAACCTTCCAGTAATGTATAATGATTCTAGGCCTTTGGTATTTTGAAAGAAATCTTTTAAAATGTTTTAACACATTTCACCTCTGTGACCTTGATTATGGGTCAAGGTCATTTTTTTCCCCCAACTTTGTTTGGAATCATCAAAGGAAACTTAAAGGCATATATAATGATTTTATGCTTCCTGGTATTTTGGAAGAAGTTGCTTAAATTTTTAAAAATATTTGACTCCTTTGACCTTGAATATGGGTCAAGGTCTTTTCTTTTCACACACTTTGTTAAGCTTCATCAAAGGAACCATTCAGCCAAATATAATGATTCTAGGCCCTCCGGTATAATGGAAGAAGTCATTTAAAAATTTTAACATTCTTGACCTCTGTGACCTTGAATATAAGTCAAGGTGATTTCATTTTGCAAACTTTATTGGGCTTGATAAAAGGAAACTTCCAGCCATATTTAATGATTCTAGGCTTCTGGTATTTTGAAAGAAGTCTTTTAAAAGGTTTTAACATATTTCACCTCTGTGACCTTGAATATGGATCAAGGTCATTTTCTTTTGTAACTTTGTTGGGCTTCATCAAAGGAATCTTCCAGCCATATTTAATGATTCTAGGTCTTCCGGTATTTTGGAAGAAATCGTTTAAAGACATTTTACCTCTGTGACCTTGAATATAGGTCAACGTCAATTTTTTCTTTTTTTTGCAAACTTTGTTGGGCTTCATCAAAGGAACCTTCCAGCCAACTATAATAACTCTAAGCCTTTTGGTATTTCAGAAGAAGTTGTTTAAATGAAAAGTTGACGGATGCAGGACGGACAAAGGACGGACAGACAAATGACGGCCCTTTGGGCCAGGTGAGCTAACAAAACACTCACACTGACCACAGATTGAGTACCGACATATTTCCCGAACAATATCAATAGATTTACCTTTCCTAAAATGTCTATATAAGGTAACCGCCTATTGAAACAATTTCCAAACATTCGAGACATGACATCTTTTCTCGAAAAACACCATAGAGACAGACATCATTTATGTCAAGCTAAACCTGCAACGTGTAAAGTAATCCTCGAAAAGGCCTACAATGGTCTAATTAATTGTATCCGTGACTGCATTCAAAATATTACCAGGTCGAGTGTTGATGATGGAATAGAAGAAACATTTGTCATTTCATAAAGTCTGTCTTCGTAAATTATTGAAGACAAAAGAAGCACATCATCCAAAAGGAGGGTTTCATTCAGACACTGGCACCTGAAGTGTTACCGTTAGTGACCAAACTCTCGGGCAGACTGTTCCAGGGAATATGAGAAAAAAATCTTTGGTAATGCAGGGATACAGTGTACGAGCGAGACCTAAACCACTGGTGGACTCGATCATCTGTCATGATGTCGAGAGGCGAATACCAGATGATGGAAATAAAATCAACAGACATGAAATAAATTTAACAAATTTATTAACAATCCACTGTGTGTACATGTAGAAACAGTAAAATGCCTCCAGGAGAGGATCGACACTATATGGGGTTCGAACCAATATCACATTATGTTTACACCCTAGAGTTACCATTAATTCTTGGTTTTGGTGTGACGTCACGTCTGTAACAACAGGAAGTTTGCCATCTTTGGAGGTGAAACAAACTCTTAGCAATGCTAAGGAGAGGTTGTTTAGTGTTTAGTAAACAAATTTTTTAAATGGAGAAACATTTACTGATAATGTTATTTGTTATATATGTTCTTAAATAGTTTCAGTATGCGTATTAATGAATATATGTACTGTTTCTCAGTACATCACAAACCCCTCCTTTATACAACTGTGACTGAATGACAGTGATTAGAGCAACCCCCGGCACTGCATGATTTTGGCATACCCAATGCCTTAACGTTGACTTTTAACAGATCTAAATTTGGTATTACTTATATTTTATCAAAGAACAAAGATGGCGATAGTTTTCACCTCAGATTTAATCGCAAGGCATCATTAGGGGTCAAGTACCAATATATCTGGGGTAATGAATCAAAAATACAACTCTTGACTAGAGTTGAATAAATCACCATTGACATGAAATTGGAAATGAATTCTATCGGCACCTGTAAATGACTGTAAAAATAATTAACATCAATCTCAAAAACAATGAGCCATATACTTTTACACTGATGCATAATATTACTCTGAGCCAAATAAATATTGAATTAATCACCACTTAATTAATCAACCAATTAATATTACAATGGATAATGAGAAAAAGTATGTCACTGAAATTCACTGTACAATTCACCGTTACATTTGTCACCATAAATTATAACTGCCCACTTGTTCAATAATAGCAGACGGGGTAATCTATACTGAAGATTCACTATGTCTTTGAAGTCGTAGAGGTTCCTCAGGAGTCATTGAAGTGCCCAAACTTAGCTATGCTCAAGCAAAGGGGAGGTAACTTTTTTTTTCACTTTACCTTATACCTAAAGCGTCATTCTCAAGTGCCTTTTTATAGCGTTAAATTATCATATAAAAGCGTGAGCCTTCCAAACATTCGAGTGACTGAGAATAATGAAGCGAAACTGAACTTATGTTTATAAGGAAAAACGTCACGAAAATCCATGGCGGTAAGATGTGATCCAAAACTGAAATGTGTAAATCGGCATATTTTCCTCCATACGCTGATTACACGTCAAAAAACCTTTTAATTTGTCTCACATATGTTCAATCTGCATGTAAGTGGTTCTAACTCTGTCTGGTTATTCCGCTTTTTGTTGTGAATCATAAATATAAAAAACTGACATACAGTCTGTTACGACTAGGGTAGGTCGCAGAGATTGTCAATACAAGCTACTTTCACTTTTGAATAGCCTGAGTTTTAACGTTTGAAAGGGCATAGCACTTCAATTTTGTAGCTAAAAAGTATTTCTTAAGCCATGTAAAAAAATTAAAGGGCAATCTGTCACCAGCTTAAACATTTTGATGGTAAGAATTTCACTGTAAAATCCAGTCTCATACCGCATTACGCATATACGAGCAGTCAAGTGAATTAATCATCGAGTCCATGAAATAGAATGAGTACTTGCGGACCTAGTCAGTGTGTGACAGTAACTTACTGAGTAAGACTGTCAGTTCGTGACTAATAAACCATAAATACTTTAACAGCATAAGAACATTCATGAGCTTTGTTTGATATCATTTAACAGTCGTCTGAATGGTGCATTTTGTTTTCTGATAGGTAAGGATTTCAGACTTAGAAAGAGAAAACAAGGATTTGAAAGAAAAGATTAAGACACTAGAGGAGGAAATTTCAAATTTAAGAAAGCAATTAGATTGGTAATCTAATATGAAAAAGGAAATGAAAAGCATGAAAAAAGACATTGAAAGGTTAAAAGAAGCTTTAAAAAAGAAATAATCCAGACACTTACGCTATATATATACACACATACTTTACAAATTTATACTGCATATTGTTTATATTAACATCTAAAATGTCTTCCCATGGCAAGTTTATGGCCCAATTTGGGTTGTCCATCAGTGATCTGGAGTCAGAACACCATCACACAATACCCCACATAATGGAAAATAAACTGAGTAAAGGTCTTGTGTGTGAGCTATTTCAATACGCAAAAACATGTACCGGTAACACTCCACCAGTGGATAAAGTGGCGCTATGGCTATCATTATTGTGCCGATT